ACACTGATTCTGATTCTGCAAGGGTACAAAAAGGGAGTAAAATTCAAGGACCAGGTCTCAAAACTAAGGCATTTAATTTAGATAATTAGAAACCGCAATATTCAAGCTTAGGGTCTACTCTGAAATACATAAAGAGCATAAAGAAATAAGGACTAAACACTACAGAGCAACATTCTTGATCCTGGCCAATAAGAAGTCTTTTAGAAACAAAATATTTCTACCAACTAACAAAATACCTTTTGTGAGTTGTGGTGATATAACTTTTTCCCTCTTGGCATCTTGGAAAAGGTCATCATCCCCATAGAGAGATGGAACACTATAATAAAAAAAAAAAAAAAATTACATACTGAGTTGTGGCTCATTTCAATAAATTTTGAAAAAAGGCATCATTATATAACAAGGTTAAGTCTTACAAATAATTCATATTCTCGAGTCTCCTCACTAAAAGTAACAGCTGCTTAAGTAAAATTTATGTCATATGTGAAACATTACAATTCCCCGGATAACAGTCATTTTTAAAGATTGATTAATCTATCATTCCAATAAACATCCCAACATATTTTCTTTGACTATGTCACTAACTGCTAAAGATGTCAAACTAAAAAATGTTCTACCTGTAAACCTCAAATCTAATAAGTATGGCTATTTTCAAGATTTTACTATCACTATCAGTAATTACACACCTTGATGCTAAATTATTGTGTGCCCTGTTTTTAAGAAAAAAGACTTTCTCTGCTGTTGGATTCGGCCAAGACAACACACCCTTCTTGTCAACACAGCAGAGGTTCTGAAAAAGGAAGTTTGCTCATATGTATCCAGTACGAAGTAAAAATTTCTGCACAAATACAGAACAATCCTAACACACAGTACAAGCACCAAATCATATAACTGCAGGATTTGCTAGTACGCTAGTGTAAAGAAGAAAAGAGATAAGCTGAAAACTTACGGTAACAGACGCTAAAACATGAAGCACATTGGCAGTGCGAATTGGAGTTGGTTCTCTACCAAGGGCTGTTAATATAAAGTGTCTTCTCAGTTCTACCCACTTCACCGATATCTCTGATAAATGCAAAGCTTCGAGTTCTGCATCTTCAAACGGATCCTCCACTGGATCACTCTAAGAACAAAGAGAGGCATTTTAGTCAATAAATAATTTGAAAAGGTAAAAAATAAAAAATAAAACATAAATATATGAAGCACATACACAAAGAAAAGTCAATAAAATCTTACCTGCATATGCTTTGCATGGTGATACATCGTGAGAATCCGAGCAATGCCTAACCAATTCAGCGTTAACCAAACCAGAGGCAGGCCAAGGGGGATCAGAGGGAGGGCTACACACACAGGCCCTATTAGAAGCACCTCGGACCAGTGGCCAACCCAGCCTCCATAGTACACTCTCAAGGTGTTGATTATTAACATCAAAATCTGTAAATGAAAACTATAGTAGGTGAAAACTGTATCAAAAGAATATTTCAAGATCTCTGTATTGAAAACTTCACGAGAAAAAGTAGTAATAAACAAAAATTATGATTAACTTACCACAACCACAGGTAAAATGACTGTCTCCATTGCCCAACTGAAGATCAAAAACCTCTGCTTATTAAAAACTGTTATCGGCCTATTAAGGGCTTCTGCCAACACAATCCTTAAATTCGTGATATAAGGGGTTTCCAACACTAAATGAGGCTGTGGTTTGAGAGGTGTCCGTGCCTTCGGAGAACTGAATCCTTCTCCAATACCCTCAAGACTTGGGGAGTATATATCCCCTAAGTGAAGTTCCCCACTACCTCCTGTACCACTCTCCTATAAGTGAAAACCAATGTATATTAGTGCTTTGTAATTTTATACAGAATTCATTCTATTTACCACTAGGTACTACAAGATATTCTGTAAAACTCAGAGTATTAACCTACTGCTGCCTTATTATCATTATTATTACTGACATTTTGGTTATGATAATGTTATCAACAATATTAATAGTAATAATATATATATATATATATATATATATATATATATATATATATAATATATATATATATATATATATATATATATATATATATATATATATATATATCAAACATTTCAAAATATCAAGAAAAAGAGTAAACAGGTAAAATTCAGGTAGGACTAGTAATTGACTCCTTGGTGAGTAAGCTCAAAATCATACAGTAGTTGATATGCCATATATATTGGACCTCCCAGCACCAATGGGTTAAATATGGTCTGATCCATAACATTTATAGCAGATCAAGTTATATTCCATCTTTATTCACAGGGGAGGAAACTTACCTGCAAAGGTTTACATTTGGCAGGAACCTTTTGTCCAGGTTTGAGAAGAATAACATCTCCTTGCACCAGCAGTGACCAAGGGAGATTAACAGTGTTTCCATCTCTCAGTGTCCACTGAAGGGTAATGCAAGGAGACAAAGGAGAATGTAGGTGTGGATAGTTCTCTGCTGACCAAAGGACAGTTGACTGGTATTCTGAAATCAAAGAGATATTTCTTGTAGAGTCTTTACAATCCAAAAATATTCACGATTTCTTATTTCACTGTTCTGTTTCATTGTTAAATTCTTGATTCACACCTTTTAGATCCCTTAATATATTCTGAGTCTGGTGTGGGAGCTCCTTATGCCTGAGACGGGTGTCCCACCACACCAGGTAAACGTTGAGAATCACTGCGGCAAAAATGAAGAAAGATTCTGCTGGAAGGTACTGATATCTGAAATTTGGGAAACTAATGTAAGCACCTCATATCATGTAAATTTTATCATTTATATAATCCATCCTTTTGTAACCCACTGAGCCCTTTATATATCCATTAATTTGTCCGTTCAGTGAATCTATTTCCGTTTAACATAACAAAACAGTTTCTTACTTTGGGTCACTGCGTGCTGCGTAGGCCACCAGGAGTACAATGCCTTCTACTATGAGTGCCAGCGCCGAAGTCCATCGGAAGACTGACAGGTAGCTCTTGCGATGAAAGGCTTCATAGTTAACACTCTTTTGTCCAAAGCCTTTATTCCTGAAATTCAGTTCTCTTTAGTAGCAGCAAGATGAAGAATCTAGTGAATATCATACAAAAATTTATCCTGGTCCTTTTTTTTTAATTAAAATATAACTATATAAATGTATTAGATGATAATATTTCCATGTGAAAACTAATACACTTATTTTTATTACAGCGCTGAATCAAAAATTCAAAGCATGTTTAAATGAACCCACTTTTCTGCCTCTGACTTCTGGTACTCTTCGAGAGCTGATGATATATCTTCATGCAAGCGGGCAAGAGCTTCATGTGTAGTCAAGCCATCGCTACAACTGGCCATTTCCCTGAAATAAATCAAATTATTCATAATTATGAAGGAAAATTACAATAGGATATACAATAACAGTTGGCAAATCCATATGTTAAAACTGTGTGCAATGATCTTGTGAGAGAATTGTTAATTGAGGTTGTAAATTCATAAACTTATTTCATCCTTAATGTATGGAAAAATATGTTGATCTAGCACCAATATTGTAGAATGACATTCATAACATTTGTGAACAATGATAATGGTTGAATATGTTTAATACTGAATGTAATCTAACTTTGCACCAAACATTTTTCTTTTTTCTTTTAGGCCCAAATAAATCTTAGTCTCCATCCATTTCCAATTACATAATATCAAGGAATCATTCTTCTCATAAGACCAATTCCAAATATTCTACCACTAACATTGTGAAACTTATAAGCAAGCAGCACCCTAAAAATAAAAAGGTATTTTCTCTATGTTAATTCTTAGCCCAACACCAGTCCTCACTAGTGTAAACTATTGTAAAAAAAAATGTTAAAGGTTTAAGCAAACTCCAGAGGCGAGCCCGTAAAATTGGTAAGACAGGACTGTAGCGTGTAAAAGATGTTTGACATATTTTACAGGAAACTTGTACTGTGAATAAACATTAGAAAATCTCATCGAATAGCAAAATAATGAATATGTTCAAATAAATAGTGATACGTAAAAATGTTTCAGATCAAAATGCACATTCATATCTCCAGCAAGCAGGAATTTATGATAAAATAGACCATCCTTTGAATAAAAAGTAAGATTTTCAGAAGTAAAGAAATGAGAAAAGACTAATTTAAATTCCAAAGGAGGATGAATTACGCAAGACCTTGGCAGCATGCAAATATCAAGCACAATACTGATTTTTAGGTCTAATGATCTAGTGTGCATAAAGAGTAACAATACTCTCTTAATTTGGTTGTAAATTTTGCCTACTTCCCTCTCTCGAAAATTGAAAACCGCTCTTCACACACAATAGTCCAAACTGGTTACATTGGCTATATGAATGCACAGATGATGTAGCTGTGCAAGCATAGAGGTCTAAAACCCATAACCTGCTCGTGAGTTTTGTGACTACGATGTGTTGATCCATATTTCCATCAACTTCTTTAATGTTTTTTCAACCTTTCTCTAACTTCTCATTGGACCTATGTTAGGCTTCGTACTTATACTGACATGTTACACTCCATACCGATATCTAGTAAACTTCTAAAATTGCACACAAAAGATCCTCACAACCTCAAAAGAAAAATGGATGCCAATAGATGAAATGGCAATTATGCAGACAATAATATTTCTGGTGCAGAAAAAAAAAATCTGAGAAATAAAAGCCTCCAAAGTTTCACATGCACTGGCAAGATTCTGTCTGCTGTGTGTTGTAAGGACTGTGGTCTCTGTCCTAGCATTTGTACTTTGTAGCTTTTGATCATTGTAACAATATTCTTACATTACAAAAGCACTGTTTTTGGAGCATGTACTGAAATTATGCAAAATACAATACCATCTGGGAAAAACCTTCTAATCCGCCTTCATCATGCAAGACAATGCAGTTATTGCTTTGAAGACATATCTGCCACTAGATTTGCGCTGTTTGGTTCAGCTTCCATGCCTATTGTGATACTGGCAAAAGCCAACGCACCTCCACTAAATACATTCGGGTGCGATAGAATTTGCAGACCTTCCTGGTGATGTACTGTGTTATAAAGCACCGGTCTAAGCTCTGTCTTACCAGAATTTCATGTGGTGGAGGTTGTTTGGCTTTGCCGACGCATAAAACATGAGAGGCTGCGAGAATCAGTTGACCCAGCTCAGTTAACTAATATCTGCTGGATTTTGGTAGAATTTGTATAATAATGATTAGAAAAAAAGTGTGAAAGATACATTTTCGCAGACCGTGCTTCCTTTACCCTGAAGTGACAGGCAAATACTTCAGAAAAAATAATTTCTCATCGCACATGAAAAGTTCTTGATCTCATTGCTTGCCAAGGAGCTGCAATTGCAAGGCCCCCCACCCCATCACACTGGAATCATACCTACCGGTGTATGCTACCGTAGTACCGGTACTGTTCTCTCCTTCCTGCTGGCTTTACCATATTCTTATACTCACCGAGCTACCGAGCGCAATCTATACAATTAGCTGTGTCAGTTGCACGCAAGGTCCATCTGTAGCACTGGATTACTTCATTGTGTTTGTAATGAGCACCGTTTATGTTTATGGTTTCGGGCTATTTATAATCCCAAATTCTTATTCTTACTTAAGTTAGTCCTATGTTCACTAAGGCGGTGTTGCGAATTCACGTACCAATTCCTGTTAGTGCTTATCTTAATCCGAGGAAGGGCATAGACATTCTCGTTCCTTGTCCACCGAGTTGCAACCACTTCCGCCTGATAAGGAACGCAATCGGTATTTACACTTATCAGCTGAGAGCCTTTGCCGTCGTCGGGCTGAGATCGGAGCCCGAGGAGGAGACTTCGGGTCGTCTGGCAGAGATTGGCGCTCCGGGATCGTAATGCACCGTTTTCTTTGATCCGGATCATAGAAAATGTTCGCTCTTTATGGCTGACTGCTGTATTTGATGTCGCATGCCAAGACGATAACAAAGCAAAAAAGTAATATGTTTGTGAATAAAATTCGAGGAAATATTTTATACTAGATCTATAAAACTCATAAATAGATAAATAGAAGAGACTGGTACTTGATAGAAATCCAGACACATTATCTACACGAACATAAACGCAGAAAAATGTACATAAAGATCAAAAGAAAACAGCCACAATAAGAAATGAAACTGAATCGTGACTTTTTCGAATTCGTCAAGAGGTCCTCATCAGACGATCAAACAACTGTTTCGATGAGGCAAGCCTTATTCTCGAGGTGACCTGTTTTGGCTGCAGTCTATATATAAGTCCAAAAGTCTAAACAACGACTGATCCCATATGCATCTAGATTCATCGACAGGCCCGTTGGTTTTGTAGAGTTTCATTGTATTATCTGTAGGTTCAGCTTTTGAACACCATTACGTAATCTGATATGTGTTCGCAGAGACAGCTAGACAGCTTGTGGTATATTATGAATGCCTTCACATTTTCCATCTGCTTTATTTCTCATTATTTCATCTATAGTAATTTCTGATGTTAAAAGGCTTGAATTCCCTTGGAAAGAGATTGCGTATCTTTGTTTGCTTTCATAAATATTCTATTTAGATTATTCTGATATAGATTATAGCACTGGTTCATCCTCGTGGATTTTGGGATTTTCGATTTTCAGCTGTGAACATTGGAAATGAGTTTCTCATCATAAAACATTCTTGGAATTGCTGTTTCACACACACACACACACACATGTACATATGCATAATAACACATATATATACATTATATATGATGCATATATTCACGTTCACACACACACACACACACACACACACACGGCACACACACACACACACACATTACACACACACACACACACACACCATATATATAGTATATAGTCAGGGATCATGTATTGACATTTCATTCCCCTTTGAAACTAAACTTCTCGTCTGGCTGCTTCTTATTTCTAAAGGTTCCTTACGGAATTAGGAGTACTTCATATTCTTAAACCAAAGTTCCTCCTATCTCTTGTGTAATGCCAATAAACGTTTATGTGTTATACATAACGAATGCTTGAACGATAAAAAAAAAATTGTCTTGGTTGGTGATATTTTCAAATGCTTTTAAAACTGTAGGATCACCACATCTACATTGGAAAGGGTTTAGTATATGTTAAGTCTTTATCATTACTGTTTATCATTGCTGTTTAAATTCAAAATACTGTAGGGAATAAATCACATCATTCATACATGGTACATTTTATTGTTAGAAAAATATATATACAAAGATATATGGTATACTGATGAGTACTCGTGGATTGAGACAGTTTGCAAGTTAAACCAGCGTGACAGCGGAATTTCCTGCCAACAACTTAGCAACTTCGTGGGCGCGGGCGTGGGCGGACTTGACCTGGGCCACGGCGGGCGTGTCCTCGACGAGGTCAGAGGCGGCCACCCTGAAGCCAGAACCGGGGGCGGCGGCGTACTTCCTCACCTGGACGTCCCCCTCGGGGTCCACGTAGGCGAAGCTGCCGGAGGTACGACCCAAAGAGTCCCTGGTCTCCACGCGGGTGTTGGGGCCGCCGTAGTGGCCGAAGGTGTACTGGCCGGCCTCGTCCTGGGCGTGGAATTGGCCTCCCACGTGAGGGACGCTGAGGGAGGGCATGGGGGGTTCAGGGGCCATGAGGGGCTCAGGCGCTGCCACTACAGTGACGGGGACAGCGCTCTTGACCACAGGGGCGACTGCCACAGGGGCAGCAGGAGCCACAATGGCTGCACTCTTGACCAGCGGGGCAACAGGGGCCACAGCCACAGGGGCAGCTTCAACGACGGTAAGGGAAGGGGCGGCCTTCACAACAGGGACAGGGACAGGGGCGGCCTTCACAACGGGGACAGGGGCAGGGGCGCTTAATACCATTCCCAAGTTTACACCTGGTTCAGGAATCTTCATAACAGCCGGAAGGTTCCACTGTGGACTGGCCACAGTTCCTGCCACCGTCTGGTAAAGCTGCGGAGCCGCGGAGCATGTTGCTGCCAACAGAGATAGCACCTGTATCAAGAAAAATAAGTTAGTGCTTAAAAAACTAATCGCATTCCAACATTAGTATTCAACCAAACTAACATCCATTCCCCATTTAAAACCAGTGCAGTGGGAATACCTAAGCAAATACAATACAAATTAAGACCAAAGCAGTAAATACTAACGATCAGTTTCATCTTGGCGTAGTTGTGATGGCCGAGAGAGAGGGAGATCTGTGGTCAACGGACACGGTGCTTGGCCTTATATACCCGCTCACCTCCCTGACCACGCCCTGCTTTGCACCTTAACGGCTACACGAACTTTAGCATTTTGCCGAAAGATTCCGAGAGAAAAGGTTAAGGTGGTGAAGATTCTCAAATTTATATCAAGGCGTTTGTGGAAGGAAATCATCTTCTTTAGTTAAGGTTTGTAATGAATTTCGTATATCTTAATGTATTTCTAATATTTACATGGTATTTAGGACTAAAGTGCGCAAACCTTAAAAGGGTATGAACTGAATATGCATTTCATGTACCTTTTCGTGTGCATTATTTACACTTCAAAACAGTATATGGAATTTAAAAAACACTTCAATTCAAATGATTTGTATATACAGACACGCACACATACATATATTTTATATGTATGTATGTAGATCTATACACACAACACACACACACATATATAATATATATATTATATATATATAATATTAATATATATATATATATATATAATATATATATATGTATATATATATTATATATATATATATATATATAATATATATATATATATATATATATATATATATATATATATATTATATATATATGTATGTTGTGTGTGTGTGTGTGTGTGTGTCTGTGTATGCGTATGTATATATATTCATGCATGTGTGTGTATATATATGTATATATATACGTATATATACATATATATATGTATGTATGTATATTATACACGGTATTTTTGTTTGTTTTTTAAACCACTACAATATATCAAACAGCATTAAGTGATAAGATTCCATTCTACTCAAACTGTGATTGTTCTTCGAATCTATCAAAATACTTTAGTTTCTTGTCTTCATGTGCAACGTTAATTGCAATCATGCTGCGACATTTGCTTCCATGAGGTGCTATTCAAACTCGTTTTTATCATATGCAATAAAAGCTTCAAATTGATGAAGCGTTTTCATGTTTACAAATGAAGAAAAGGTACGAGAGAGAATGAATGTCTTTGCAATTTAAGAGATGGTATTTGACCGGTTTCGAGTATATCTTCGTCAGAAATGCATCTATTTCTGACGAAGATATATATTCGAAAGAAGTTAAATACATTTCTTGTATTGCGATGATATTCATTGTCATTCATACTTTTTCTTCTGTAAATTGATGTTTAACCCTAACTTAATTCGAGTGATACATTGTTATTATATTATAAACCCAATAACAACGCATTCGCAACCCAAAAAGTAGATAGATTTGCTATATCGTGATAAGATTATATCCTTCATTCCATTCTATTTTCACATTTCCTCGCGCCATGAAACATGACAGTGGAATACGAACCTAAATCGAGATGATACAGCTATTACCTCGTATCATGTCATGAAATATAGATGAGATGAACAGTTAATGATGACACAGTTAATGAGAGATGACACAGTTAATCACATGACACATGGCACTGCAACAGTCATCAAAAAGCTCGTGATAGTGTTGACGGAAGCATCTGCACTCGTAGCCCCTGCACCGTCTCCCGCGTCTCTCTCGAAGGCCGGTCGGTCGCGACGGCAAAAACACAGGAGCCGCCGCAGGGTAAGGCGCGGCGGCCCTGGGATGGTCGTGGGTCCGGGGGAATTTACTTTTTCTCTTTATTTTCCTTTTTATAAGGGGAGGGGGTGAAGAAGGGCCAACGTTAGCAACAAGGGGTAGCCTCTCCGGGTGAATCTGGATCGGATTCGGGTGGATCACCGAGTGAATCTTTCTGGGCTTCGTTGGGTGAATCTTTAGGGTGAGTCGCGACTGAACTTGAGTTGGAATCCG